CCCCCACCTCCCACCACCCTCACACACGTGGCCTTCTGCTCCCCATGGCAGCGGGGGCTCGCACCTCATGGGTCTTGAAGAAGGGGGAGTTCTCCAGAGCCTCACGAAGTTCTTCCAGGCGCGCCACGTACTTTCTCTGTGAGAGAGGGAGCATTTCACGGTCAGCACAGGGACTCTGTGGGTCCTTACCCACCTTGAGGCCTGACCTCATCCTATACCCTCAAAGGAGCGAGCAGACCACAGCCAGGAGGGGATCAAAGGGGCCACGGGGAAAATGGGTGGTGGGTGGGGGCTCGGATGCACTGGGGTAACACAGACAAGAGTGTGGTTGGGAGAATACGTGGATACTCATAATTCCTAGCAGCTCCTCCCGCCAAGAGTGGGGTCGAGTCCCTTTAATTTCGGCTGGGTCAGAAGATTTGCTTTGGCCAATAAAACATGGTGGAAATAATGGTGGCCATTCTGAGCCTAGCCAATCAAGACACTTTACAATTCCACTTGTTCTCGGGGCCACCTGTTTCTACGCTTAGAACGAGCCCAGGCTAGCTCGCTGCATCATGAGAGGCAAGCGGCCAAGTCGTGAGCCAATCACCAGACATAGGAGCAGGGCCCTCCTAGACCAGCCAGCGCTAGCCAAGCCACCAGCTGACCGCAGATGGTGAGCAACGCCAGCCAGTATTGGCCATCCTCGGCCTAAAGCAGAAGACCGTTGCCTTACAAGCAGCGATGATGGCGGGGGGCTTGAGCTGCTAAATACAGGGCCCGGTGTCCCGCTCACCAGGATTCCACGGTTCCCGTCCACAAAGTCCTCTAACACCTTTGTCACCTGCTCCAGCTCCCGTGTCTTCTTGAAATTGGTGTTGCAGGTCCCGTTGGCTTTCTGCAGGGCAAGGGGTGAAGGCCCAGTATCACCTTTTCCTTCTCACACCCGACACCAAGCAGCCTCAGGCATTTCCTGGGACCCCCTGCCTGCCCCTCACACTTGCTGGTTATTCAGGGGGAGCCAGCCCACCTGCTCAGCCCAGTTCAACCCAGCCCCAAATCACACTCCAGAGCAACCAGTCCTTCTGAGTCCAACCTTGAACCCACTGGTTGAGCCGGTTTAGCCAAGTGGGCTTTGGAGAAGGGTAGATCTGGCTTTGAACCATGACTCTGCTACTTCCTAGCTGGGCAGCCCTAAACAAGCCACCTCACCGCCCTCAGCCTCAGTTTCCTCACCTGGAAAATGGGGACTGCGTTGCTATTGGCTGCCTAAAGCTGGTATAAGAATTAAAGGAGATTGGATATGTAGGATGCAAAGCACAGTGCCTGGCGCACAATTAAGTAAGCACTCCATAAATGAGACTAATAATTTTTATGTCTGAGGGGGGCACAGAGAAGCCACCTGAGTCATTCTGTCACACCGTGCCAGATGCTGTGTGGGTGCTGATAACATGGAGGTAATAGGACAGACACAGTCAGGTGAAGGAGGCAGGTATAGAACACTAAAATCATCACAAAGGGAGAGAACACAATAATAGAATATAGGGAGCCATGAGGAGGTAAAGAGAGGGCCCTGATTGAGCAGGATGGAAATTAAGGTGGGCTTCTTGGAGGAAGCAAAATTTGAAAGGAGACAGGAAAATGACCGGGTATCAATCAGAGGGAACAGTAGGGGGAAGAGCATGTGCAGAGGTCCTGTGGCAGGAAAAGAAAACTCTTTCAAGGAAATGAAAGCACTGTGGTTTGAAGGTAGACAAAGAGGGAGGGAGAGAGGAGGGATGAGGCTAGACCCTGGAGGGCCCTCTAGGCCAGAGAACTTCTCCCGAGGGGACTAGGGAGCCATAGAAGGGTTTTGAATAGGAGAATGACAGTAGGTTGTACAACTTGGAAAGGTGCCTCAGGCGAGGCCGTGGGGAAACAGGCGGGGTGCACAATGATTCTACTCTTGTGAAAGGAGTTTGGCAATCTCTGGCAAAATTCCCAGCGCATTTCATCTCTGACCCCGTCTTCCTCCTTCTGGGAATCTAGTCTACAGTTAAACCTATACACTTGGAAAGTATCTCATGTACAAAGTGATTCACTGAGGCACTGTCTGTAATGGCAAAAAGTGGAAACGCAGGTGGCCATCTGTAGGGGACTGTGTCACATCCACAGAGAGCTAGTATATAACTGAGGAAGGAAGAGAGGAAAGGAAGGAAGGAAGGAAGGAAGGAAGGAAGGAAGGAAGGAAGGAAGGAAGGGAGGAAGGAAGGAAGGAAGACTTGCTATGGAATGAAAAGCTGTCCAGGTTTCTGCCACCGTTTGTGTAAGACTGGGAGGAGGAAACGTTAGGATATGCAATTGCATTTGTTTGTATTTGCAGGAAAAAATAGAAGAAATTGATAAAGTGGTTCCCCATGAGCAGGTCGGGGGTGGAGGGACAGAATGGGAAGGACATCAGCAGAGCTAGGAGAGAGATTTCCCCTGTATATCCCAGTATGTTATTTTGATTTTTGAACTGTGTGAATACCTCTTCAAATAATTAGGTGTAATTTACAAAAAAGGAGAGAAAGAAGGAAGGACAGAAAAAAGAAAATCTCTCCCCATAAGGGGGGAAAAGGATTCTTCAAGCTGCTGTGTTGGATGAGGATCAGAGGGGGTGAGACCACAACCCAGGAGCCCAGGAAGGCTAGGGAGGGAGAGACCAGGGAGGTTAGGGCAGGAGAGATGGGCTGGACCAGGGGCTGCGGGGAGGGGTGGAGACAGAATCTGGAGCTGCTCAAGGAGACAGATAAACAAAACTTGGTCACTGATGGGGGTGAGAGAGAAACAGGGCTTCCCAGAACCCCCGTCTATTCATCTTCTACAGTCTCCTGCTTTTTCTCCACATCCTGCTTCTTTCCAGCCTTCCCTGATGCCCATGCTCCCCAAGAAGCCTGGCCTCAGATCTAGCTCCCAGCACTCTGGTGACAGGCTAGCAGCTCCTGGCCTCACCTTGATGCCCTCAATCCGGAAGCCCAGGGTGGAGGTCGAGCTCACGGTCTCCCTCCACTGCATGTAGCGGGGCTTGGTAATGGCACCCTGGGCGTGTTCCTCAGGGGTGGGGGCCCCAGGGTCCACAGCCACCATCTTCTCATACATGTCCTTCCGGGGCCGGGGCCGTTCTCGTGCCTTCACCAGCTCCTCCTCCAGGTAGGTCCTGGGACAAAGAGGACGTGGCAAAGGAAACTATGAGGAACAAAGATGGAGGACATACTCCCTGATATCAAGGCAAGTTATAAAAACACAGCATGGCACAAGAACAGACAAATAGATCGATGGACCAGAACAGAGTCTAAAAACAGACACACATGTGTACATTCACCCAAATTATGACACAGAAGACCCAGTAATTCGGTGGAAAAAGGGAAATTTTTTCAATAAACAGTGCCAGGTCAAGAGAATAGCCATATGGGGGGCAGGGGGTGGGCAGGGTAAAGAACCTCAATCCCTACCTCACACCATATATAAAAATTAATTCTAGATGGATTGCAAATTTAGATGTGAAAGTTAAAACAATAAAGCTTGTAGAAGAAAACATAGGAGATCTTCATGAACTTGGAGTAGGTGGATTTCTTAAACACAAAGCTACTAATCATGATGACAAAAAATGACAAACTGGCCTAAATCAAAAGTGCTTCTGTTTATCAAAAGCTACTATTAAGAGAGTGAAATGGGAAAGCTGGACAATGTGTGCGTATGTATGTATGTGAGTCTCCAACAAAGGAATTGTATTCAGAATATATAAAGAATTACAAATCCAAAAGAAAATGACAGCCCAACAGAAAAATGGGCAGGGGCACCTGGGTGACTCAGTTGGTTAAGCGTCCGACTACTTTTGGCTCAGGTCATGATCTCATGGTTCCTGAGTTCGAGCCGCACACTGGGCCCCGTGCTGGCAGTGCGGATCCTGCTCAGGATTCTCTCCATCTCCCTCTCTCTCTCCCCCTCCCTGCTCGCTCTCTCAAAATAAATAAACCCAAAAAGGAAGAAAGAGAAAGAAGAAAGAAAGAAAGAAAGAAAGAAAGAAAGAAAGAAAGAAAGAAAGAAAGAAAGAAAGAAAAAGAAAGAAAGAAAGAAAGAAAGAAAGAAAGAAAGAAAGAAAGAAAGAAAGAAAGAAAGAAAGAGAAAAGAAAATTGGGCAAAATATTCAAAGAGGCACTTTTCACAAGAGGATCTCCAAGTGGCCAGCCAACCAATGCTCAACTTCTTTGGTCATCAGAGAAACAGAAATTAAAATCCTAATGAGACACTCACCAGAATGGTTACAATTAGCAATACCAAGCACCCTATGAGAAGATAAAAACAACTGGAACTCTCACACACTGCTGGTGGGAGCACATGCGGGTACTTACCACTCTGAAGACCTGAGAGGCACCATCTCCAAAATGCCCAACGCTGGCCCTCTGCATCTGCCCTGTGGCTAAACCCACCTGCTGCCCATCTTGCAGTCCATAATGGAGGGGCCCTCAAAATCCGCCAGGAGATCTTCCATCTGGTTGAAGGCCTGGCCATCCCGCTGCACCATGCCGTAGTAGGTGGGCACGAAGGGTCGCAGGGGGTCGCTCATCAGCTGCTCCAGGCTGCGCTGCTCACACTGACAGAAACGCTTCAGGATCCGACCATCCTCTCCTGCCTGGAAGTTCCCTATGGGAGCACAGCCGACGAGAGGGTCAGAAGCTGGATCAGCCGGAGCCTCCCCTCATCTCCCGCGAACGTCAGATCCTGGCTGCCCTCATCTTGCCTGACCCCTTCCAGAAGGCTTTCTCTCCTTCCTGCACCTCTCAAAGTCTTAGCCAACATGTGGCAAGGGAAGGGCCTACTGCTGCTCCTCATTTCAACAGAGTCCTGTTCACAGCATGTAGGGGCCTCACTTGTTTTGTCATTTCAGGTTGTGAGCTCATGATGGGCTGTGGGAATCTGTGTGAGATCAGATTCGAGAGCGTGCGGCTCCAGAGCAGCTCTGCATCTGCTTCTGCCTGGAGTCCCGCCGTGCTGGCGCCCGGGGCCACTTCATGTCAACTGACAACTCAGGCATTTCCTGGACCGCACGGACCGTGTAGATCAGCGTTACAAACTCTTATTGGGGCAAATCGTATTTTCAGCTTGTACGCGCCAAAGATGGCCACAACAACAGTTCCTGTCTCACGGGTTCTTCCAGAATTTCACCACTCCCCACCAAGAAGTGGAATCTAAGTCTTCTCTCCTTGAATCTGGGAGGGCTTCTGGCAGAAATGACACCGTGACTTCAGATTCGAGGTCACAAAAGGAGATGCGACCTCCACTTTGTTGGCAGAGACGACTGCCTTTGCGGTCCGGAGATGCCACGTAAGAAAGCAGACTCCTTGTGGCGCCTGGTGGCTCAGTCGGTTAAGCGTCCGACTGTGGCTCAGGTCATGATCTCACGGTTTGTGAGTTCGGGCCCCACACTGGGCTCTCTGCTGTCAGTGCAGGGCCCACTTCGGATCCACTGTCCCCCTCTCTCTCTGCCGCTCCCCTGCTCATTCTCTCTCACTCTCTCTCTGTAAATAAATAAGCTTTAAAAAAAAAAAAAAAATGAGGGGCGCCTGGATGGCTCAGTTGGTTAAGCGTTTAACTTTGGCTGAGGTCACGGTCTCATGGTTCATGAGTTCAAGGCCCACATCAGGCTCTGTGCTGATAGCTCAGAACCTGGAGCCTGCTTTAGATTCTCTCTCTCTCTCTCTCTCTCTCTCTCTCTCTCTCCCCCTCTCTCTCAAAAATAAATAAACATTTAAAAATTAAAAAAAAAAATTTAAAAAAGCTGACTCCTCTGAGGCCACCGTATTGTAAGGAAGCCCAGGCTGCTCCACAGAGAAGCCACATATAAGCTCTCCAGCCAGCGGCCCCAGCTGAGACTCAGCCAACAATCGGTTGTGAGGCACGTGAGTGAATGAACCTCAAAAGTTTCCACCTTGCAGTTCCAAGTTGTCCTACCCCAGACTCCATGGAGTAGCAACAAGCCATCCCTGCCATGCCCGGTCTGGACTCCTGACCCCAAACCCGGGAGTGCAATAAAATAGTTGTTTTATCCCACTAAGTTTTCTTTTAACCACCACTAACTTTTGAGGGTTCTTTGGTATTTTAACTCAGTAACTGGAAAACATGGCGACGGCAGCCCCAGGTTTACAGTGTCGGGGGTGTGGGCGTGGGGGCTGGCCTTTTCAATGACTCAGATCTAAGGATACACTAGGTAGGTAAGCTCCCTTCTTATCTTCCTTTGCTGGTGGGCCCGATCTGTCTTGTCCCCACCGGTACACATTTTTGTGAATAAAGTTTTATTACAACACAGACACAGTCATGTGTTGATGTATCATCTCTGGCTGCTTTCGTGCTAAAACAACAGAATTGTGCGGTTGTGACAGAGACCGTATGGCTCACAAAACCCAGGACGTTTATCATCTAGCCCTTTACAAAATATGTTATGTCCTAGGCATTGTGCCGCTATGCGCCAGAGACATCACACTAGGTGCTGGGAGAAACCATTAGAGCTGCTATTTATTGAGCACCTACTATATTCTGGACATGGAGGGGCTGAGGAATGATTATTTCTACTTATGAGGGGCCTGTGTCTCAATCTTCATATATATATATTTTGATGGTAACTCTCCAGTGAACCCTGCAAAGGAGGTAGGATTAGCTCCATATTACAAGTGACGAGGCCCAGTGAGAGGAAGTAACTTACCCAGGATCACCTGTAAATAAGTGCAGAATTAGGGTTTGTGCCCAGGACCATTTTTCCCCCAGGGTTGAGGATTTGCTCCCCATCCCCCTGGCACTGGGAACAGCCCTCAGCCCCTGCCCAGGCCTAAGCACTTCCCGTAACAGCCTCAGGAGGTGGAGACTGTCCTCAAGCCCATTTGACAGATGGGGAGACTTGAACTATAGAGAATGGCCCTGTAGCTTTCTTTCCCCAGCTCAGCTGTCTCTGCCCAGCCTGTCTGCCCGCCCCCCCCCCACCCGGCCGTCCCCTGCACCCCTGCTCTCACCAGCGTGTCCTGACAGCTGGACCCAAGGGTAGTGTTTTCGGAAGGAGACCACGAAGGGCGAATATCTCAGAACTGTCTTCAGCTTCTTCCACGGTTTGTTCTGTTGTGAGGCACAGCAGGGTGGGGTCACTGCCAAGGCTGGGGAGGGTGGGGGATGGGATGCAGCACAGAGGGGAAGCGGGTGGACCAGGGGGCTTCCTGGGAGTGCTGCTCCCGAGCTCATTGGGGTGAGCGAAGCCCACTAGTTCAGCAGTCTTGAGATTCCCCATAGGCCTCAGCAAAGGTGGGGAAGAGTCTGTCCATTTCTCTCTGTCCTCGTCATCATTTTCTTTAGACCCTTGTCTTTCTGTCCTTTTCAAATGAGTAAAAATAGGCCAGGTCACACACCAAAAACTTGGAAACCTCACTTCTGTCCTGAAACCAAGTCAGACCTTCTGGAGAAAATGATAGAGGCAGGACTTGATGAATGGAGGCTGAACCACAGAGAAAGACACAATTAGAAACAGATGGCAAGGTGACGACAGAGACAGAGAGGGACAGAGATGGACACTGGGGCAGTCAGGAGAGCTGCTCACCAAACAGCTCCAGCCCATCCTCCCTTCTAGGGACATCCCTGCTACCTTGAACTTCGGCTACTGGCTTGCTTTGGCAAGTGAAATGTGAGCCTAAGCGTTAAAGCCAGTACGTGATTCTCCATGTTCCTTTCCCTGCTGTGGAAGTGGGTGGGGAGTGTGGAAAGAGAAATAGAAGCTTCCTCGGTCTGGGCCTTGAGTGAAGACATCACCCACCAGTGGCCCATGGTACATGTGCAGTGTCAACAATAATAATCCTTCGTGGTTCCAAGTCACTAAGTTCGGGGGTTGCCTGTTACCACAGCAAATCCTGACCTAGCCTGACTAATACAGTGACAGGTTACCAAAAGACAAAGAGAGAAATATAGAAAGACAGAAAGGGAGACACGCATACCAAGTAATGACGGGAAAGAAAAAAATAAATGGAAGCAAAGAAAGAGAGAGAACAGCAAGAGAAAACCAGTAAAGCAAACCGAAAACAAAGATTTCATTGTATCACGTTGACTCAATCAAGAGGTTCTTGAGACTGGCTTAGAGTCTGATTCACATGTATGAGCACGCGTGCAAACACATGAATACATTCTCTGCTCCAGGCATATGGCAGTCCCTTAGACAAGTATTAGGAGAATGGGTCCTCTCCAGAGAAGGAATCTGTGTGGCTCATCCCCCCACTACCTTGGGGTCAAGGCCATGTTCTCTCCCGCCTACTCAGAGCCCAGCTACCTAGCAGACATCTAATTGACAGTGGGAAGGTCAAGCAGAGGCAGGGTGTTGGACTACGGGATTCAGGAAGGGCTATTCCTTCCACCCTCCAGCTGCCAGCCATGAAGGGGAGGTGATTAATAAAGGTTCCTGTTTACTAAGTACCTGGAACATTCCAGGCACAATGACAAAGACTCGGTGAGCCATAACCTACTTAATCCTAAAAACACAACCCCAGGAGGATTGTTGACACTGTGTTACAGAGGAAACAGAGGCTCAGGGGGATGAAGTCACTTGCCTAAATCACACAGCACAGTGCTGGGGTTCTAACTCTGAACCCACTGCCCTGGGCTTACACACTACAGCCCTGCTGGGCTATAAACTCTGAAGGCAGGGATTGGGGTTGTCATGGTTATGACTGTGTCCCCAGCCCATGACCTAGCACACAACAGCTGTTCCAAAAGCATTGCTTGGATTGAGGGAGGTTAGTTGTAACTATCTTTTTTTTTCTTTTTAATCATAAGCAGTTCATATCTTGTCTCTTTCTTGGACCTGATGGTTAATCTGCGCTTTCTCAGATGATTTCATGATGGTCTCATCTCCCATGTCCCCTCCTCCAGGAAGTCCTCTCTGATACCTCAGGTGTGGCCAATCACCTCCTGCGATCTTCCACGACACTAGGCGTCCCCCATCCCAGCCCCCTGACCATTCTGTATGGTGATGGGCCTGTCTTCTCCACTGGCCTGGGAGCTCCATGAGGGTAATGTCTCAGTCACTGCTGTGTCCCTAGCAAAACCAACACAGGGCTGGACACATACCAGAGGATCAGAGACTGTCAGTGGTCTGATTAGGAGGACAGGATGGATGTGTGAAGGAAGGAAGCGGGGAGGAAAGGAAGAAAGTTGTGGGACTTCTAAGGTCAGATGGGATTTCAAAATTAAGCCAGAAGGAAGCAAGGGTTTGTTTTCTGGGCGGTGGGAAATGAGTGAGCAACAGCTCACGAGCGGAGGCAGGATGGTGGCAGGGCGTTCGAGGAACAGTGTGCACTTTGGCCTCCTTGCAGTGGAGGGGGGTTAGGAGGGGAGAAGGGAAGCTGAATGCGGGAAGCAGCCTGGAGACAGGAAGCTCTAAACACAGGGTTGAACTCCTGATCGCTATCTGGAGGGCCCTGGGGAGCCACCGAGGGTGCTGAAAAGCAGGGAGAGTTCAAGAGTTGACCAGAGGTGGGTCTTGGAAGCAGATTATGGAAGGATGAAGAAAAACTGGAGACACGGAGGCGTGGGAAGAAAGCAAGTTAGGGACGGATCCACCCATACACCACAGAGCTTGAAATAACTGGGTTTTCAACTCAGCCAGGACTGAGTTAGAATCCTGGCTCCGACCAGGCTTGGCCAGCCCTAAGCAAGTGACCTCACCTCTGCACACCTGTTCCCTCATCTATAAAATGGAGACAATAATAGTCCCAATGTGATTGTGCTGTTGTAAGGGTTAACACATACACAACCCTTAGAAAAGTGCCTGGTATGCGAAGGGTTTGAATCCCAGCTCTGTGTCTTCCAAAGTGTGTGACCTTGGACAAGTGTCATTGACCTCATCTGTAAAATGGGGAGAATAACAGTATCTCCCTCATAGGGCTACTGTAAGGATTAAAAAAGTTAATACGAGCAAGGAGCTTAGTACAGAGCTGGGCGTGAGTACTAGTTGCTATTTTTTTTCCCCATTCACTCCCAGATCAGCTGTTTGGAGATGCCAAGAACGTGAGAGAGTAGGTGGAGGGAACAGCTAAGGCAGAAAGACCAGAGGGTCAGCTCCTGTGCTCTGGCACAGGCAGGTTGAGGCAGGTCTGTCTCTACCTGTGGCCACACGTGTAAGCACATTCCTAAGGGAGCCCCCGTGGGGTGAGGGGGGCTCAGGGCAGACTCTGGCCAGGGGCCCCAGACAATGGGAGGGCCCAGCAGGCCAACCTACTTGAGTCTGTCACACCTGCCTCCCAGCTGACCTTCCCTGAACCTGCCCTGCCAGCCCTCCTGATTCACCAGGAGAGAACCGCACCCAAGGTGGGGGGCATGGGGGGGGGTGGCACCCAAGGTGGGGGGCATGGGGGGGGGTGGCACCCAAGGTGGGGGGCATGGGGGGGGGTGGCGGTGAGGGTGGAGGATATAAACAAGAGTGTGCAGGGGGCCCCCTGGGGAGCTGGGAAGCAATGGTGAAACCAGACGGTCTCTGGCTAAGCTGGGGGTCCTCAGCGTCTGGGGCTCACACAGCCCTCTGAGAAGCTGATAAAAGTTGGGGGGGCTCACTCCCTACAAAAGCAAATGGCTAAAGGGTGGCAAAGGTTCATGACCCCTTAAGGCAGCCACAGTGCCTTAAAAATTTAGGGTAAAGGGTGGCTAATTTAGAGCACCTGGGTGGCTCAGTCGTTTAAGTGTCTGACTCTTGATTTCAGCTCAGGTCATCATCTCATGGTGCTGCGCCTGCTTGGGATTCTCTCCCTTTCTCCCTGCCTCTCCCCTGCAGGTGAGCTCGCGCGCTCGCTCCCTCTCTCAAAATAAATAAAAATATTTTTTAAAAACTTAGGTTAAAAAGTGTACCCTTTCTGTCCTCCTTTACTTGTGCTCTTCTAGAGGATCCGACAGAAATCATACATAGTTGCTTCAAAAATATGTGTGTAAACACACACAGACTCCCACGATCACACAATTTCAGGAGTCCCTGGGCACCATTAAGTCAGCCAGTGGCTGTCCATTTTAGACCCCAGGACCGGAGGCAGTGGGTGAGGAGAAAGGGAAAGGATCAGGAGGATGCCTGGAGAGGGTCGGTAACCTGGCTGGTCAGAGGGAGGAGGTCGACAGATAGAAGAGGTATCTGGAGATAAAATTGCTCGTGGGTGCTAGAAAACTTCTCAAAGCAAAGGCAGGGGGATAAGGGGTCTGGGGAGATGTGGCCCAAGGGCAGAACGGTTCCCACTCACCCCAGACCTGTCCTCGGGGTCGCTGGCACCTCCGCCCCCGGCCACCACATCATCCTCAGACTCGTCGAAAGAGGAGGCAGAGGAGAAGCCGCCACTGCCCCCCTCAGCCCGGGAGGGGGGTCCCACTGGCTGAGCATCAGGCTCAGGTGTTTCAGGAGTGATGATGAGGCGGGGCACAGGGGTCAAGGGGCTACACTCCAGGCGAGAGTACAGGTGAGCCCCCAAGTCCCTGGGTTCTGGTTCCTCTAACAGGCCATCCTGCTTGGATTCCCCCAAAAGACAGTCTGTCCCAGGTTCTGTCTGGGGTCCATGAGTATCTTGTGTCTGGGGACCATCAATGCCAGGCCGAGTCCAGGAGCCAACAGAATCTTGCTGTGTTGGGAAACCATCAGTGCCAACCTGCTTCCAGGCTGTTTTAGTATCCTGTTGTATCTGGGAGCCATCAGTGTACAATTCTTTCCAGGAGCCATCGGCACTTGGCTCTGTTGAGGGACAGGCCCCCTCTGGCTCAGTCCGGAGGCTGGACCTGTTCCTATGGGTCCAGAGGTTATCAGCCCAGGTCTTGGCCCTCTCTGGTTGGGTCTGTGACCCATGTATTTCTATCTCTGTCCAGGGCCCATCAACGACGGGCTGTGTCCAGAGGCTGGCCTTCTCTGGCTGAGGCTGGAGGTCAGACCAGTGTGAATCAGTCAAAAAGCCATCTGTCCCAGTTTCAGTCCAGGGACCGGCTGTCTCCAGCCCTGAGCAGTGGCTGCTCCTTTCTGGATGTGTCCGGAGGCTAGATATGTCTGTCTCCGTTTTGGGGCCGGGCCGCTCAGTCTCCGCTCCGAGGCCAGCTGCTTCAGGCTCAACCTGTCCGTCTGTCCCCGGCTCAGGCCCGAGGCCGACCCTCTCGGGCTCGCTGTAGAGGCTGGACCCCTCGGGGCTGGTCCGGGGCCCGCCCCCGTCCGGCCGCCCCGCCGGGCCCCCTGCACCTGGCCCAGGTCGCTGCTGCCCCGGCTGCCGCCGCCGCCCCCCTCGCGGCGCCTCTAGCCCCATGCGGGCCGCCCCCGGCAGCTCCCCGGCCTCTGCCTCGCTTAGGCTCCCCCGGCACGGGCAGCGCCTCATGCCCGCTCCCTAGGTTCGGGCTTCGACCCGACCCGGCCCCTCCTGCCCCTTTAAATCCCGCGAGGGGTGTGGCTGGGGAGCCCCAACTCCCGGGTTCCGGCCCGCGGAGCTCCAGCTCGCCCGGCCACCCAGGGGTTAACCGATACTCCCTCCCCCGCGCCCCGGGAAAGCCCCGAAGCCCCGCCCCCACCGGACGTGACGAAAGGGGGACGGGCGTTGCCTGGCCCCGCCCTCTCGGGTTGAAGCGGGGTGGGCACCTAGAGCTAGCTCTGCGTCCAGGTTCTGTACTGCGTTCCGGGGTCCTGGTTGCGGGCCGGTGGGATCCCTTCCTAGACCCCTGCAACGAATCCGATCTTCCTACAC